ACCCTAACCACCATGCCACCTGCTGGTCTCAGTCTTGGATATCTTTCTAGGGTACAGCTCACTCAAAAGTTATTAGAATTATTTTTAATTTCTTAACATTTTGGTAGTTTTTAGTGTTTTGTTCTTTTTCAATTTTGCCAGAGGGCACATGCACTTGCCAGAGAGAGACAGAGAGGAAAAGTGAGAGAGCATTCCTCCATGAGGCACGGTCATGCTACAATCCCTTATCCTCCAGTCTCTCTCTCCCTTTGGAATTCTGGCACCCATACACACAAGCCTGGCATGTTTCTCATACCTCTGAGTCCAAAACTCGAACTGTACATACAGCCACCTTAACCACCAGGCCACAGGCTCGCCCTGGCAGTTCTTCAATTATAAAGTTTAAGAATGTTCGTATAAGGGTTTTTCAAAAAGTTCATGGGAGGGACCAGCAGTTAGCATAATGGCTATGTTGCTGAACTCCCATGTAGCCGACCTTGGTTCGAGTCCTGAACCTGGTGACTTAAATTCATGCCGGTACATGTGTGTGCATGCCCAAGATCCCGAGAGGAGCATGGAGAAGGGATTGCGATGTGACCATCCTCCCTGCGGGGGTGATTTCTCACATTCTGTCTCTCTGTCTCTCTCTGTCTGTCTGGCGAGCACACACACCATATAGCAAAAACCTCTCCAAAAAAGATTTTCATGGGAATGGGTACTATGAAAAGACTATCCATGAATTAAAAAAGTGTTTCCACCAAAATGAACTCATACTTCAATCCCATCGTTCCACAAACTTTTTGAAATCCCCTCATACTGAACCGCAGGTCCACAGGAGTTAAGATGTCACAGAACCTGGGGCTAGTGAGTGGTGTGGTGGTTAAGGCTCTGGACTCCCACGTGGCCAACCGTGGTTCAAGTCCTGGACCTGGTGACTTGCTTTCTCACTTTCCCTCTGTGTGTGTGTTCCTTTCTGGTCAAGTTTAAATAAATTAATAAGTAAGTAAAATTAAATAAATAATAGTAATTTAAAAATGAATGTTGCAGAACCTAAGGTCAAAACCTAAAGCAACATTCAATTAAGCTGAACATCAGCTTACTTAATGATCTATCCATAAAATGTTGGGGGTGGGAGGAGGGAGAAGGGGTGTTTCAGAACAGTTAGGAGTGAGAGAGGGGATAGACGAAGACAGCTGCTGGCAGTTACAGCCCTGAACAAGAGTCAGATGAATAGATCTGATCCTGTATCTTCCCATCCATCTTCAGCTGTACATGCAAGACACCACAGCTGCAAATACCTGTCTGGTTCTAGTGTCATAACTACCTACAGAATTTTTAGAGATACGGAAATATTAAAACTGGTTGAGTTCCTGGAACATCTAGTTTGAGATAGAGAAGCCTGAGGGCCATCTTGGAAGAATGGAAGTGGGGGTAGTTGTGGAAGGGTTTGGGGAAGAAACCAACCCAGAGCTTCAACAGAACAGTGTCAGGTTCATCCGTTTCTATTTTGAGATTCCTATTTTAGTGGAAAAATGGATTGTATTCCCTCCTCAAAAATTCTGACATTTTTAGACAAAAAAAAGCAAAAGTAGCACTTTAGAGAAGTGACTTACTCCATTGTCACAGTTATTGACAAGAGAAAAGACACAGTCTCCTAACCCCAAACCCAGTGTATCAGGGTATTTTGAAGGGAGGGCTTACCTCATTCACAGAAGAGGTAGGAGCTGGGGAAGGGACAGACAGCTGAGTGGATTGGAGTAGTAAATCTACAGAGGAACTGGGTATAGAAGATGTTAAAGAACCAGTGCTCTCTAATCACATTGCTTTAAATATAATCAAAGGGGAAAGAAAGTAATTGGAGACCTAGGGAAACTGCAACCTATTATCACACTCCATGCCTGTTAACTCTAGGAAAAGCTTGAGTCTGCCTGGGAGCCTTTCCCTGGGGGTGCTACAGACTCAGCTCAGGGCAGCTAGAATTTGCAAATGTTCTGTGACCCTCTGGGGTAAGATAGAAATGGTTTAAAATGGACCCAAAAAAAGTGAGACATTTTGCATACACTTTCAGTGATAACAAATGTAAGGACAAACATCAAGAAATACTAGTTATTCTTACGGATTTCAGTTTATCTGGACCAACTGTAGGATCCTAAAGGTTGTTAGGAACTCTACAACCTACTGATTCTGAGATTCTTTCAGTGACATATTCCTTACCTTGTCAGAACAATCAGACTGCTGTCCTAGACTGTGCTGTAGGGCACAGTCCTCCCTACTGTCCCTCCCCCCATTTAAACCTGTACTTGCTGACTGCCCCTACATTTAGGCGAGTGGGATGCCATTTGATACATATTAGAGCTCTTCCCCTCTCTTTTCTATTAAGAAACTTGAAGACATCTAATTATTAAAATATACACTTCCTGAACTGCTGGCATTGATCTACAAATCCTTCTAAATGTCTTAGACTCAGCCCTAAAACTAAACAGGAGGTCTGTTTTACCAAGTTAAAAACAGACAAGGAGTGGAGAAGCCCTTAAGGTCGCTATGTAGCAATCACTGGAGAACCCAGGATTAGCATCAAGGTTTGCTCTATTGTGTATTTTATCTCTTTCTACCAGCTGCAGTGTAGCTGGCTGGCATTTGACAGACAAAATGCTACCTGTTTATTTCTCTGCCCTTGGCACATTTCTGTGTTTCTATTAGAGTCTTCTCCACTAGGGCATTGTAGTTCAGCCTGGCTTTAGATTAGAAATGATGTTACTTTAACAGGTCTGGTGTACCTGTGAGGGCCCAAGAGAAATAATGCCTAAGAATCATTGATTCGCTTAACTAGTGTTTGTTGAACTTTTGTGCTCTGTGCCAGGAATGATTCTGGGTGTTGAGAATACAGTAATGACCCCCCCCCCCAAGTCCCCAACTTCTAGGGAAGTAGAAAGATAACAAACTGATAAACAAGTAGACACTTAATGTCTGGCAACAGTAAGTGCTACCCAGGTGAATATGGTAAACGGAAGGAGGGGTGATATTTGGGGGAAGGGGCTTGGAGAATGCCTCTCTCTGGGGATGACAGTAGAGACCAGGTTGGAGTGAGAATACCTAGCTCTGAATTTCTGGGCTTCCTTTCTCAGCTGCCCCTCAAGTGTCATCTGCAAGCACTGAATATTCCACCTGGCAGAAACAAAAGGATGCTGGTTGGAAGCCTCACTCCCCATTCTGCATAAATTCACCCTTGACAATAACAATGCCTTTCAGTCCAGACTGAAGTCCATTTCATTCAGATTGAATGAAAGCTTTTAACTGTCCCCAAACTGCTTCGTCACTAAGAACACTGAAGAGGCAGTAAAGCTGAGGGTACCTGTTGAAAATGTAACCAACAGTATTTACAAGTCACTGCCTTAGAGGAAGCACACTGAACAATGACTGACATTTAATACTGGTAAGTATGGAAGTTGGAAGTATTTTGTGGTCTCAGCTAACGTGTAGCTCTGGTTTAAAAGCCATTCCAAAAGGAGTAGCTTGGTTTAATGCACTCGCCTGCGGATACTCCCTTTATCGTAATGATATGCTAGTTTAAGATTGGATTTAAATCAATAATTGTCCTGTGGATATTCGTCCTATGGATACTGCCTAGACAGAATGAGGTAGGGAAAAGGAAATCTGACCTAAGTATCCACAATTAATTTCACAGATCCACAGAGGAAAGTGATAACCGTTGAAGTCTTCCCACAAAATCCTCATACCCTCAGGAGAGAGGAGTTCCATATCCGAACTTGTGGGGAATCTTCAAAACTGGAACTAATTTGGCTAGTGGAGGGCCTACTTGAATTACAAATCATATTGTCTGAATCAGTGTTTCCAAAGTAGTCTACCAGCAGAGTCACAACTTTTTTTATTTTTGTCTCTACCACTTTAAAAAAAAAAATCAACTGGGAGGGGAAAAAAGCAGCTCCTCCTCTGCTGCCTTGCTTTGCTGCAGAGATAACAGAATTTGGCTGCAGAGTTATTTACTGGGCGGATCTATTTTTAGCAACTTGTTTGTGTGTTTTAAAATCACAGTTACAATGCACTATTGTGTAGTAGTTCAATATTGTACTGCAGGAAAATATATGTGGAAAACCATTCCCAAGGAAACCTGATGATACACATTAGCTGGTGACCACTTTAAATTGCATTTATTTACCAGCTTTTTTATAAACTGTCAAAGCTCCTAGGCATTCCTTTCCCCACGTCTCCTGGCATTCTATTACTTCCTGATAAGGGACGCTATTGGAGAAATTTGTAGTTTAGGGGAGAGTCAGACTTCTGCTGATAATTACTGATCCCTTTTTTCTTCCTGAGCTTCCTTCGAGGTCCTGTTTTCTGTAGAAGGCTGAAACCAAGCTCCCCTTTCTCTTAGTGTACCATAGGCAAGGTTCGTTTTGAGTACTGGGAACGTTCTTGTGTTTGATGATATTCACTTAACCTACATGTTAAAAACTCCGGCTAGTGCACTTGAGTAAGTACACCGCGTGACCTGGCTTTTTCCTTTTGCTGTTATTTACTGATAAAAATAAATTTCCTGCGCTAAGCAGTAGAAATCGCAGCGAAAAGCTAGTAAAGTCCTACGGGGGAGAATTCATATGTTAATGAGCCTTTCCAAGCGAGAACTCGGTTAATCGTGCCATTTGCTGACATCATTGTTATGGGCAGAGTGGAAGTGATTACTTTAAGAGGTAGCCTTGCATATTCTCCCAGCGATTTGTGGCCCGCGCGTGCACCTTCATGAGGGGGAAGTTTACACGAGTCCTGGGGTATTTGCATCTTAGCGGCTCGGTTCACTGGGGCTCCCGGGAACAGACGGAGGTAGGTGCTCGCCGCGAGGCTGGCCACGTGGGTGGGTAACTTTTCGAGGAATAACGTGCGTGCGGGACCTTGTGGAGACCTGCCAGGGACACTGTCAGCAGTGACAGTTCCTGGAAAGCGGGCGGCGGCGAGATCGGGCTGGGCAGGCGCCTCCTGTGGACGAGAGCTGGGAGCCCAGCCGGGCTGTGATCGCGAGCCCAGCGGCCGGCCCGCTGCGCTGGGCGCAGGGTGGGATCTGCAGGAAGTGAAATGGTTACTTTTTTTACTGCGGGCTCTGGTTACTTTTGAAGATCGCCGGCCCCAGGCGGGCGCCCAGCGCAGAGCGGAGACGGGTTTTGCTCTCCGCAGTGGAGGATCCTGGAGACGCAGAGCTGGGGCGTGTGGGATGCGGTGGCCTGGACCAGGCGACTCAAACGCCGGGAGTGGATTCCGCAAACGCCCACGGGAACAGAGGTTCTCCGCGGAGCTAGGGTACCTTTTGCCAGGTCCCGGGGCAGCAGCGGGTGGGAATCGCCGCGTTGCACCGAGAGAAGGCTCGACGAGGACAGGCCCCGGGGAAAGTGCGTCACTGCGAGGCGGGGGCGCTGCGACCCCTCTCCTGTCCGGCTGAGCCAGGGCTGCGCTGGGACCCGCGGGGCGCGGTCCGTCTCGGTTAAGTGGGACGGGGGGTGGCCCGCACTCGCTGCCCCGCCCCTCGGCCCCCCACCTGGTTGGTCTCCTCCGGAAATGGGTGGGCGAGGGTGACCTGGAGGGCACCCAGCCGTCTTCGTTGGGAGCCACCTCGCGCCAGCACCAGGCCTCCAAGCTCCAGCCTCCACCAGCTGCAGAGCAGGCGGGCTGCGAGTGCGCGCCCGGGGGCTCCGCTCTTTCCTGCGCCGCAGCGGGCGCCGGGAGGGGCTCCAGGCCGCGTTCGGGCGGCCCCACTGTCGCGGCCGCAGGTGGGGAGCCGTCTGGGGCCCGGGGCTGGATGGCAGCGAGCTGCTGGGACTGAATGCCAGAGGGTTGCCGGGTGCACGCGTCGGTGCGCGCCCGCGCAGAGCGGGTGTCTCGTCCGAAGCCAGGGAGTCGGCGTGGGGACCCGGAGCCACTCTGTCCTGCCGTCTAGCCGCGGTGCTGGGGCTCTCGGGAGGCGGTGACGCTGCGCGGGGAAGCGGCGGAGGCTTTCTGCTGGATGTGGGTAAGGGGAGCTCGAGGGCGACTGTCCTCTGTCCTCGTGGGCTTCCTGTGGGCATCTACGAGGGTTTCAGTCTTTCTCGCCGGGTTTCGAGTTCGGCCTCCGTCCACCCCAGGGCCGGGAGGTGGACCGCGGGGCAGCGGCCGGGGCCGGGGCCGGGGCCCGGTCCGCGTCCGACCTCCGGCCC